GCAGCAGTTGGCTGGGGCTGAGTGTCAGCTGTCCCTCTCTGCGGGGGGTTACTCTCCAGCTAACCATGCCTTCTAGCCGCTTTCTCGCTCCCACTTATCATCATGCTTTTGCGGCTGTTTTTCTAATAGTAGAGTTAAAAGAAAAATGAAATATATTTGTCTCCGTGTCTCTATCAAAAGTGGGAAAAAGAAAGATAGACCAAGAAGGCCGTGTGTTTCAAGAAAAGTGGGAAAGAGCGTATTTCTTCGTGGAAGTGCAGAACATCCCTACGTGTTTAATATGCAAACAGAGCATGTCTGTGTCAAAAGAATACAACCTGAGACGCCATTACCAAACCAACCACAGTAAGCACTATGACCAGTATACTGAGAAGATGCGTGACGAGAAGCTTCATGAGTTGAAAAAAGGACTCAGAAAGTATCTCTTAGGGTCATCAGAAATTTTGTGTCCTGAGCAAAAACAAGTATTTGCAAATGTGAGTCCAAATGAAAATGCTGCCGTGCAGCCTGTAGAAGATGTGACTGGGAACTTATGGGAGAAGTTACGTGAAAAAATCAAATCATTTGTGGCATACTCTATTGCAATTGATGAAATCACAGATATCAATAATACCACCCAGTTGGCCATATTCATCCGTGGTGTCGATGAGAATTTTGATGTGTCCGAAGAGCTTTTGGATACAGTGCCCATGACAGGTACAAAATCTGGAAATGAGATATTTTTGCGTGTTGAGAAAAGCCTTAAAAAGTTTAATATCGACTGGTCTAAATTAGTAAGTGTGGCCTCCACTGGCACTCCTGCCATGGTAGATGCGAACAATGGGCTTGTTACAAAACTGAAGTCCAAGGTGGCAATGGTCTGCAAGGGTTCAGACCTGAAATCCATTTGTTGCATTATTCACCCGGAGTCACTCTGCGCTCAAAAGTTAAAGATGGACCACGTCATGAACGTGGTGGTTAACTCTGTCAACTGGATATGCTCCCGTGGGCTGAACCACAGCGAGTTTACAACTCTGCTTTATGAACTGGACAGCCAATATGGCAGCCTTCTGTACTACACAGAGATCAAGTGGCTCAGTCGTGGGCTGGTGCTGAAGAGATTTTTTGAATCGTTGGAAGAAATTGATTCCTTCATGTCATCCAGAGGAAAGCCCATTCCTCAACTGAGTTCTCAAGACTGGGTCAAAGACTTGGCCTTCTTGGTTGATATGACAATGCATCTGAACACTCTAAACGTATCTCTCCAGGGGCATTCACAGATCGTTACACAGATGTACGACTTGATTCGAGCATTTCTGGCAAAACTGTGCCTTTGGGAAACTCATCTGGCAAGGAATAATCTGGCCCACTTTCCCACGCTGAAATCAGTTTCCAGAAGTGAAAGTGATGGCCTGAACTACATTCCCAAAATTGTGGAATTAAAGACTGAATTCCAGAAGAGACTGTCTGATTTCAAAGTCTATGAAAGCGAACTGACCCTGTTCAGCTCCCCGTTCTCCGTGAAGATCGAGAGCGTGCATGAAGCGCTGCAGATGGAGGTCATCGATCTGCAGTGCAACACGGTACTGAAAACCAAGTATGACAAGGTGGGAGTGCCGGAATTCTATAAATACCTCTGGAGTAGCTACCCGAAATATAAAACCCACTGTGCAAAGATTCTCTCCATGTTCGGGAGTACTTACATTTGTGAACAGCTGTTTTCCATTCTGAAGCTGAGTAAGATGAAGTACTCCTCCCAGTTAAAGGACTCACAGTGGGACTCCGTCCTCCACATCGCGACATGAAGAACACTCACAGCAGTTCCCCAGCGGGCGCAAGACTGGATGCCTCCAGGCCCGAGGGATTTTGAGATGGGGAAGTTATTAAATGTTTTGTTTTTCAGTGTTTTTCACTATGACTTGGAAACATAATTTGCAGTATCATACCTGTTTTTTAATGTTTTATGCTTCACTATAGTCCAGTAAAAACCAAGAAAGTTTTCTTGTATTTCTAGGAGTTGACTTTTCTTATGCCTGGCCTGTATCACTCATTCACATACTTGCTTTATGCCTGTAGCCGCTGGGGCCGGCACCTCCAGGTTTAAATAAGTCAGCAGACAACAGGGAGATAGACGGATGTGTGTATTCATTGAGGGGCACACACATGTATCACCCCCCCCTTCAGATGGTGGCCCTCGTGACCTAACGTGATTCCAGGTCTAAGTAGAGTTGGTTGGAAATGTGTTCACAGACGGTAGTACCCCTGTGTTATCAGCCTCTGCCTCCACAGGACCCCAGAAAGGGAGGGCTTGAAATGGAAAACCCCAAAACAAATAGCATTTGCCTTGAAAGGCATAGAAAGTTGAGCCCTACCCCTATTTGTATTTTTTCAACTTCATTTTGAAATAATTCAAATTTACAGAAAAGCTGCCGAGATGAGAATAGTGTGCCTGTCAGCCAGATGCTCACACACGGCACCTCCCCCCGGTGCTCCATCACTCGTTTGCCTTCCTCCGCTTCTCCTGTGTGGACAGTGGTGCCCACAAGTGTAGAAAGGAATGAATAACTGTAACCTGTGTGTAAACGTCTGTGCATGATTTTTATGAACATTTGAGGGAAAGTTGTACACCTCATTTACCCCTAAATACTTTATGGAGTATTTTCTAAGAATGGGGATATTCTTGCCCTGACCATTGTGGCTCAGTTGACTGGGTGTCATCCCACTAAGCAAAAGGTCACTGGTTCAATTCCTGGTCAGGGTTCACGCCTGGGTTGCAGGCCTGGTCCCTGTTGGGGCAAATGTGAGAGGCAGCCAATTAATGTTTCTCTCCCTCTCTTTTTCCCTCCCTTCCCCTCTAAAAATAAATAAATAGCCCTGGCTGGTGTGGCTCAGTGGATCAAGCACCAGCCTGTGAACCAAATGGTTGCTAGTTCTATTCCCAGTCAGGGGCACATGTCTGGGCTGCGGGCCAGGTCCCCAGTAGGGGCGCACGAGAGGCAACATTGATGTTTATCTCCCTCTCTTTCTCCCTCTTTTCCCCTCTGCCTAAAAATAAATACATAAAATCTATTAAAATAAACAGAGAAATAAATAAAATCTTTTTAAAAAATAGAGATATTCTCTTAACATTACCAGGATTTAGTTGCCATCTCCAGTGTATTGGACGTTGATGCAACACTTTCATCCGTTTTACCATTCATACTCCAACTTTGTCAGCTGACCCAGTAATGGCCTTGTTTTATAGCATTTTTCCCCTGGAGGGTTGCCACTTGAAAGCGTGTGTGTGTGTGTGTGTGTGTGTGTGTGTGTCTATCTGTGTTCTTAGTCTCTGTTTGTCATTGGAATTAGTGACCCCAAATTGTGAATACTTCAGATTGTAGGAATTAATCTCACTAGAGCACAAACAGGCTAAGGACCCTGATCTGGTGGCCCACTCAGGAAGCAGTGGAGAAGGAGGCTTTAACAAGGGTGAGGGGAGGCTGCAGGGGGGAGAGATCACAATCTGCAGGTGGTTACCTGACAAGGCACCCAGCGCCAGCTGGAGCCTGAATGCCTGTCCGCAGACACGGGAAATGACCCAGCCTGGGCAGTTCCTGTCATTGGAAGATTGACTGCAGGTACAGCTGGGTCCCGCTAGCTCAGGGGCTTACTTCCTGGGGAAGAGCCCAGGATGGACTGATTTGTGGGGATGGGGGGAACAACTCCTGGCTCACCTGAGCAAATGTGGACCCTGGATAACAGAGGTGGGGCCCTGCATTAACCAGACTTGCCTGAGATTTGGGACCTAGAATAACTTCAAACAACGCTGGTTGGCTGGCAGGGAAAGCTCAGCCTCCCCATTTTAGAGACAGACCGCTGAGGTGCAGAGTGGTTGAAAGGGCTGCCCCGCGCCACGCGCCCAGTAGAGGAGTCTTCAGGACTCAAACCCAGGTTTGTGTGACTCCAAAGCTCATGTTCTTTTTCCTCTTCTAAGTGGCCACAGAGCCTGATGTGGAGACTGTTGTACAGCCTCAGCTCATCTGTCGAGTTTGTGGCTCCCTGGTGGTTAGCCTGGTGACAGGCAAGGGACAGCCAGGGCTGCCTTCTGACGGGGCCATTCGTGGGCTGCTTTGAATGAACTCCTCAGGCCCCTACATTCCTTCTTTACCCTGCAGTGTGTGTTGGGACCTGGGTGGCTTGACCAACACTGTCACTCGCGTGATGGGAAAATGAGTGAACCAGCGGGGTGGTTTTCAGCAGTCGTGGTGATGCAGTGTCTACGACAGGGAGCTGTGGTCACAGAGATGGAGAAGGGCTCAGCCCAGGTGCTGGGGCCTGGATTTGGTAGGTCCCTGTCAGCTCATGGGGCAGGGGAGGCCTGCGTGTGTCCCAAGCCCCTGTATTCCTATCCAGGGTTCCAGGGTGGGCGGAGGAAAGAGCTGCTTACTCCTCCAACACAGGAAACGGACGTGGGGGCCGCAGAGGGCTCTGGAAGCTGTCCCACATCACACTCTGTCCTCTGAGTGTCCCTCAACCATGGCACCGCAGGGCCAGGATAATGCGGTGGGTCCAGTAGGGCTTTGGAGTCAAAAAGAAAAAAGCCCAGCTCCCCCTCCCAGCTCTGCCACCTACTTGCTCTGCTCCCTTCAACAAATCACCTACGTTTTCTGAGCCTTGGTTTCCTCATCTGTAAAGTACCTATCTGACAGGATTGTTGTCAGGACTAGAGATGATGTAAGGAGCCCGGCACTATGCTTGGCCTCAAGAACACTGGCTCTGCAGACAGTGCAGCCCTAACTCAGACCCCGGTGCCCACCACATGCCCACCCGGTAGCATTCTAGTCCGCTTCCCTGTGCATGGCAGAGGCCTGCAGGGGTGCCCTCCTGACCTCGGACATGCCCACCACCAGGGTCCCCCACACCAGCATGCTGTTGTGGGGCCAGCACATCACCATCTCTGGAGAACTAGAAATACAGAAAAACATGGGGAAAAGGACTTTACCTTGGAGGGAAAATAAAGTAAAAATCATGAAAATAAGTACTTTATCTTATACTGTGTTTAATTTTTTTAAGTTATAATTACAAGAACAAGCTAAAAGGTTGGGGTGCCTGTGGTTAATTTTTCCACAGGTTTTCATGACAGTCCCTGAAATTGGACTCTTCCAGCAAACAGGAGCCTGCAAAAAAGCAAAAGAAGGGCCCGGTCGTTTTCTCAAGGCCTCTCTCAATTGTTTGATGATCACTTAGTCTCTTGAGAAGCACCTGTCCCCTTCCCACTTTCCTCTGATCTCTAAGGGACCAGCCTTGCCTATCCCCAGGTAGCCGCTCACCCACAGGAGCACAGCTCTTCATGTCACCCATGGCCTTTGTACACGTTGCATCTTTGCAAGATTTGCAGCTCCAGTGTGCACCTTAGAGTCTTTGCATTTTGAGAAAGACCCACCAGCAAAACCTTTGAGGCCATAGGCTGGCGGTAATGCCGGGGCAAGTGGTTAGGATCTGTTCATCTGAACATTTGCTTTCTGGGACAGCCTCCTAACTGTACCAGCTCTCGGTGAAGAATCAGAGACACCTCCTCCCTATACGTAAGTTACAATTTTTTGTCAACTAAGGTGCACACACGAAGTCACAAACTGCTCTGGCCCCCTTCACTGTGTACTGTGTCCAAATTCAGGACTGTTCTGCAGTGGGGCCAGAGTATGAGAAGGCAGTTGGGGTCCAGAAGTTCCTCTTGCATTTGACCTTATGCAAACTTGATATTGGCCAAGGCCAGGTCAGTATGCAGTCAGACCTTGGCTCTTGCAACTTCCCCTCACCCCCCACCCCAGCAGAGCTCACAGCCATGTTCTAATTGTAGCCCAACACCCTTCGTGTCTCTGCAGAGCTTCTGTCCACTCCAAGCAACATTTATTGAGGGTGGAGGGTAGCTAGCTAGGGCGATGCCCAGAGCTGCCCTAAGCATCCAGACCTCAGACTCTAGTAACATATACAGTACAGGGATCCGGGCCAGAGGTGGCAGAGGGGCCTGAGCGCCATCTGGGGGCGGTACCCGGTCCTCAGACGGCGGAAGCCAGCTTCCGCTTCGTGCTGTCGCTGCAGCGATTCAGGATGAGGTCTGCACTGGGCCGTGGGGGTACAGCCGGCTGCGGCTTAGGGCGCTGAGTCTCCGGCTCCTCCGCTGCCAGAGAGAGCGATCAAGTAAGAGGCCCCGCCTCCCGCCTTCACCCCAGTGCCCTCTCCTGGCCCCGCCTCTTGTTGCCCTCCCTCCCCGCCCCAAGCCGGCCCTCCAGCACTTTAGCAGCCGGATCCCAGCCTCTGTAGTTCTGACCACGCGGCCCGGCCCGTCCCCAGGCTCTTTTCGCCTTCTTGGCCCCGCCCCTCGGGTCCAGCACTTACCTAGCCGGCTCCCTGCGCTCTGCGGACCCGGCCGCACCTGGCGGCGGCGCTGCTGCAAAAAGCGGACGCTGTTGCGCCGATAGGTGTCCTGGCTGAGGCGCTTTCGAGATTGCTGGTGGATGCTGTGCGCGTTGCGAATGGACGACCTGGGCCCAAGGGGACGGGGACGTTGGTCATCGCCCCGGAGCCCCCACCGCCCCTGAGCGCTCGCGTCCCTGCCCGCGGGGACTTGCATGGACACCTCTGGGATCCAGCTACTGCCCCGAGGAAGTGGGGAGTGGCAAGTGGGGGTTGGGGTGGGGAGGTCCGACACGGCCTGACTGAGGCTGCCCTTCCCGACACGGGCTCTTACCGTGCTGCAGAGCCCAGGTCCATTTCCCACGCCCCTCACCAGACTTCGGCCAGTCCCCTTCCCAGGAAGCCCTCCGGACTGCCTCAGCCCACAAGGACCATCCTCTAAGACTCTGGACATCAACGCCTTCACCTCCACCTCACACCCCTGCTTTCCTACCACCCCAGTGCCAGTGCCACAGGGCGAGGTTGGGGATGATGTCCTGACTCTTGACCCAGTGAGGGTGCTGCTTTCCCCGTCAGGCTCGGAGCTCCTACCCTATCTCCCCAGCACCAGTTCTGCCCATCCAGGACCGATCCAGGGAACCCGTGGTACACCTCAGTCCCAAGGACTCACCTACGGGGCGGCGCCCCTCGGTTCTTGATCTGGCGTTGGGCCTGGGTTATGTCCTCTCCTGCCTTCTGCAGGTACATGGACGGGAAGTAGCCCGTGACGTCGTCTTTCCTGCAGCAGAGATAGAAGCCAGGGCAGTGGGGAGATCAGGGCTCCCTCTATACAGTTGAGGTAAGGCAGCTGGGAGGTTGCAAACACCCTGCTGGCAAACACCAGACCCTGACCCTCTGGGCCTCAGTTTACTCATCTGTGCAACACAGACCCTACCAGCTGTGACACTGGGGGAGGAAATTAGCAAATCCAAACCTCCCCAGGGACATGCATTTGCTGTAAAACCTCTGGATTGCCTTGTGTATACTGAGAGACCTTTGCCCAACTCCACGCACCAAGTTCTCCTATGCTTTTTTCCAAAAGCTGTTTGGGTTAGGGCTTTGTGCTTGGTAAAACCCTCGATCCACCCCAAATAAATGTGTATGGTGTGAAGTAGGAGTCTAGGTGTTTGGTGTTTTTTTTTTTCTTCCATATGGATATCCAGTCATTGAAAAGACTTTTTTTTCCCATCCTCACCACTGTATTTGGGAGTGAAAAAAACTTTACATAATACAAAATTCACTCAGTAAAACTCTGATTCTTCTTGGCTGGTGGAAGAATCACAAGGAGACTCGCAGGGGTATGTGATAGGGGTTAAGTGTGAGTCTAAAAGGTTGAGAAACCCTGTCTCAAAGCCTCCAGCCCAGAGCCATGCTGGGGATGGGTGTTGTGCCCACAGTTCACTGGGGTCGTGCACCGGCCTGTGACCCAAGCGTCTGTAAGCATTGTGCAGGGACCTGGGGAGGCCCAGTGGCTCCAGGGAAACATCTCCGCTTTCCCAAAACTAGGGGGAAAAGAGTGTGGAATTGCAGTGAAAGATTTAAAAGGAAAATGGATGAAGGGTCTGCTCTACCAGTTATCAAACATAATAATTAATACAAAACTTAGCTGTGTTGCTGGACAAGGGACAATAGATGGACTGGTCAGGGTAAGTGACCCCAAGTCACAAAGGAAAAATGTACCCACTCTGACAAGGACACTGAACCCAAAACAGGAAGGGTGGGATTACCACTCACCTCCTCTCACAATGGACACTGAGCCCAGAGAGGAGCTTACCCCATGTCGCACAGCCAAGTCAGCAGCAAGTCAGCCCAGCCCCCAAACAGGCCCTGCCAGGGGCCAGGGCTGGTGCAGTGGGAGGAGACGTGCTCTCTTACCTGATGACCCACCAGCCGTCCAAGAGCTTATGAATGACCTCGATGGTTTCACCCTGCTTGAGGGACACCTCGTCCTCCATTGCAGCAGTGTAGGCTTTGATGGCGACATAGGGCTCACCTGGTCCACAGTGAGGGGGAGGGGCGTGGTGTGAGGATCTGCCCAGCACAGGACTCAGCAGCCCTCCTCTCCTCTCTGGGCCTGGGGCTTCCTCCAACCGGTCCTTCTTGGTCTCCTTCTGCGGGCTCCTCCCGGCCTCTTGTGGGGCATCCTGGAGTTCTGCCCCCCTGACCCACTCCCACCCACCACAATCCACACCAGGGGCCAGGAGCTCCCATGACTTCGAAGGCTTGGTGGGGCCCCTACAAGAGGAGTGGCCCTGCAAGAAGTGTGGGAGTGGAGCGCCTGCCTACTGACTCCAGCCAACGATGGGCATGTGGGGCTGAGGTCCAGTGTGTACACCTTTTCCAGTTTTTAAGGAGGACCCATGAATCCACATAAAATTGTGAAACCTCTCCACTTTAAAATATGGGGAAACAGTTCTAATTTTTTTTCAAACCCTACTGGAGCCCCATTCAGCCTGGGGGCTGCCAGTTTTCCCCTCTAGTAAGCAATGATGCCCCCCTCCTACAGGTAGCCCTCCTTCCTGAGCCTCAGGCCTATTCACCATTCAGCTTCCTGTTGGACCTGGCCCCAGTCAACTGCCACCCAGCGCCCCAGGCTGACCTCATCACCCCCACCTCATTCCTCCTCCTGGTTCCCTGCCCTGACCACCTCCTACCAGATCCCCCAAGCCAAACTGTAGGGTCTCAGCTCTGACTCCCCTTCTGCCAGCCCCCATGATGTCCAACCCCAAAGGAGTCACTTCTGGCTTCTCAATATCCCCCGGCTCCTCCCGCTCCTTCCGCCCACACCCCTGTGACCATGGAGGGTAAGGGGTACCTGCATAGTTGGGCTCTGGGTCCTCTGCCTCATCAGGGCTGTCCAGGGGCTCCAAGTAGGAGGCTGGGACCCAGCCTCGCTTTGTCTTCATTTGGCAGAACCACCAGCCTGTGCCCGGGGTGGGAGGCAGTAAGTCAGGTCGGGCCTGGCAGCCTTCCTCAGCCACGGGGTGGGGAAGACACCCATACATACAGACATCCAACACTTGGATTCAGAAATGTCACCTTCGCCACACTCCACACCAAAATCATACATACACATACACACAGGGCCACAGAAGCAGAGTTCGGAACCCGCTCCACACACCCGATGAGGAGCCGGCCTGCCCACCCGGATGCGGCCCCAGAGATGCGTGGAGAAGCCTGCCTGTGTGCAGGTGCCCAGAGCGGCCTCAGAGCGCTCGCTCAGAGACAGGGTGATCGCAGTGTGGGGAGGACGGTCAAGGCCCCAGGGCAGAGCCTTGGTGGGGGTTCGTGGCCATGGGCCCAAGCAGCAGAGGAGGAAGGTCTGGGCAGGGCAGGAGACTGACCGCTCTCGCCCTTCTCCACGACGTCCACCACATCGCCCATGGCCAGAGCCATCTCAGAGCCCGAGCTCTTCTCGTAGTCAGCAATGGCCCGGTACGTTTGCAGGATGATGGGGCCGGTGATGTCTGGGCAGAGGGAGCACAGGGTGAGTGGGTGCTTTGGGGGGGGCTCCTCCTGGCCTCCCTGTGATCCCTTGTGGGGCCACCAGAACTGGCACTGGCATCCCATTCCCACCCGGCTCCGGGCATGACACAGGCGCATGCGCCCTGCAAGCTGGAAAGCAGCAGAGACAAGCTGTGCAGCCCTGCATTTAGTGAGCGCCTAGTGTGTTCTAGTCACACGCTCTCTCTCTCATTTGATGATGGTAGTGAGCTGTCCCCCTCACCTTCAGGGTGCACACAAATCACCCAAGGGTTCAAAGCGCAATGAGTTTCTGATTCCATAGGTCTGTAGTGAGACCAGAGAGTCTCACTGCATCTTCAACCAGCCCCGAGATGATGCAGCTGCTGGTGCCGTGTTATGGGCTGAACTGTGCCCCCACACCCCGAATTCTCACACTGAAGCCGTAAGCCCCAGTACTCAGGAATCTGACTGTGTTTGGAGTCAGAGCCTTTGGGGAGGTGACTAAGATTGAATGAGGTCATAAATGTGGAGCCCTGATCTAATACGATTGGTGTCCTTATAAGAAGAAGAGCCCCGGCTGGTGTGGCTCAGTGAATTGAGTGCCAGCCTGCAAACCAAAGGGTTGCTGGTTTGATTCCCAGTCAGGGCACATGTCTGGGTTGCAAGCTAGGTCCCCAGTTGGGGACACACAAGAGGCAACCACAGATCAATGTTTCTCTCCCTCTCTTTCTCCCCCACCCTAAAAATAAATAAATAAAATCTTTAAAAAGAAGAAGAGACACCAGGATGTGTGCACCAGGGATGTGTGTGCAGAGGAAGGGCCATGTGAGGGCACGGCGAGGAGGCAGCCGTCTACAAGCCCAGGAGCGAGGCCTCAGCAGGAACCAACCCTCACACCTTGATCTCAGACTTCCAGCCTCCAGAACTGGGAGAAATAAACGTGTGTTGTTCAAGCCACCCAGACAACAGTACTGTGGTGGCAGTCAGAGCTGGATAAAACACTGCTGTGTCACCCCTGAATGTGACCATTGCCCCTAAACCTGTTCATTCATTCAGCCACCACATCTCCCAGCATGTGCTGGGCTCTGCAGCCACGGAGGCAAGGGGAGTGCCTTCACCACAGCCCTCACCTCCTGCTCTTTGCCCTGCACACCCTGAGCTCGGGTTCCTGGCCATGTCAACTGCCCTTGGGGCGACCTGCATGGGCTGCCCCTGGCCCTCTCACCTGCAACATTAGTCTTGCCATCTTTAGGTACCAGGTATGTCTCTGGCTTTTTCACCCTGCAAGAGAGAACAGTCTGGGTTAGATGCTCAGCTCCCTACTGGGAAATGGGGCACTCCTGGTGGACCTACAGAACTTCCCACAAGAGAAAGGAATGTGGGAAATGGGGCCACTGCAGAGAGAAGGGGCGTCGGGGATTATGGGGTGGTTGTTTTGCCAGCCTGAAGCGGGAACCCCAAGGAAAGGCATCAGCTGTAAAGACAGCAAGGGCCTCCTGTCCTGGCGCCCTGGTTCTAGGAGAGGCTCCAGTCAGCTCCTGGGCCAGCTCCCTTCTGGAGCCAGGAGAGAGCGGCCAACGTGGGGGCGGAGCCTGCCTCAGGCCAAGCCCGAGCCGATGGGAGCTGCCCTTCCTGCATCAGGGGTGAGTTCAGGGGTCAGTAAGCACTGGCTGAAGCGATGGTCTACGACAGCCCTGTCCTCTGGTCACCCCCACACTCAGTGACTAGAAAGGGACCTTCCCAGCCTGTCCCCCTGAGATCTCAGCCTCTCAGATGACTTCCACGCAGGGCCCTGAGGACAGGAGACCCCTGGGGCAGGGGCAGGCAGAGAAGGAGGTGACAAAAGGGAACCAGGGGCCTGAGGTGTGCAGCAGTCAGCACAGGCCACCAGAGCCCCACACCCTCTGGCACTGCACCATCTGTGGGTATGCCACATGGATAAAGGGCTTTCAGAAAGCTTTTGGGGGCCCCCTCCCCACAACCTGTGCCTCCTGTGGCCACAACGCTCTGAGGGGGCCAAGCAGAGATTTGGAAAGGTTGCTCAGTGGTAAGAGGTCACACGGGCCAGAGTTGGAATCTTGCCTCCTTCCCTTTCTGGCTGCGTGCCGTTGGGAAAGTTGCTTCCCCTCTCTGAGCTTCAGCTTCCTCATCTGTAACATGGGCAAAGCCCAGCCTCCGACTCAGGGAACCATCCCATATTCTCTCCCACCTGCCTCCGACCAGGATGAGGTCACTCACTGGCTGTCCGTGGGGAGCTTCAGGTCATCGGGGCGCACCTTGAAGAACTCGAGGAGGTGCGGGCAGCGGGAGATCTTGACCGGCAGGCCCATGAGTGTATTGCAGTACTCCGTGAGTGTGCCCTGGCGGCTCTCCGTGGTCCGCTGCCCATCAAACCACCTCGGTGCTGACCGGACCAGGAAGGGGCGCCAGAGAAACCGTGAGCACATTTCTTGAGGTCAAGTCCAAGAAGGGGTAGGGGAGGAGGGGGCAGCTTGGAGGGCAGGTGAGGAGAGCCAGGACAAGTAACCCGCCCAGGTGACTCAGCCCCTCACCTGGCAGGTGGGGGATGATTCTGTTCTCTGAGTTGATGTCCCCCGCCTCAATAGGGAACATTTCCTTTAAAGTTTTCTAGACAGGATAAAAGACATGAAGGGGTATTTTTCATTACAACACTGAAGCACACTGGAAATGACCCGAATACCCTCCTGATCAGTCAGGCTATGAACTTCCGGTAGCATTCCTCTCTTTCTCCCCCACCTCGAATCCAGCCATCAGCAGACCCTTCAGTTCTACTCCAGAGATCTTTCCAGAACCTGACCCTCCTCACTACCCCCACTGCCACCACCTTGGTCTGAGCTTCCATGAGGCCTGGGTTTTCCAACCTTATGTCATTCCCTGCTTCTACCTAGTCTGTCCTCAGTCCAGCACCCAGAGGGATCCTCTCAAAACCTGAGTTGGACCCTGCCCCTCCCTGCCTCTCAGCTCACTGAGAGTGGAAGCCAAAGGCCTCATGTCGGTCAGCGAGGCCCCGCTAGACCTAGCCCTGCCCCCTCACCCACCCCTCTGCCCCCTTCCCCTTGCATACCACAGGCCCACTCCTGCCCCAGGGCCCTTGCACTTGCTATTCCCACTCTTTCTCTGCAGTGTCATGGTGTTCTCATTCTCTTCCCCTTCTTCAAGTCTTTGCTCAGATATCACCCCCTCTTTTAAGCCTTATCCTTGACAATTGCCCCTCCCTCCCCAGCCAGTCCTCCCTCCCCACCTTGTTTTATTTTTTCTCCATAGTTCTAATGACCATCTAACATGCTACATAAATTACTTATTTTTTTTTGGCCTGTTATCCTGAGTTCTCCACTAGAACTTGAGGCCTACAAGGGCAGGCAAGCCTTTGCGCCCACCTGTTGTTGGTGCCCCTGCCCCCTTCAGTGGTGCTTCCCACTCCCGAGCAGAGCGTGCCTGTCGCCTAATGCTCGATAAATACTTGTTGAATGAACAAGTGAGTCCACCAACTAATAAAAGGGGCTAATCCTACAATGAAGTAACTCAGAACAGTTGAAAGAGGTGAGACGGAGCCACACACCTATCAGCAAGGACAGGTTTCCAAAACGTGGCCCAGGAAGCCAGTGGCATTCTGACGGCTTTAATCCAGACAACAGAAAATGCCCCCTCAACGCCACGCACAGGGTTCTGGAGCTGTGTGTGTGCGCAGCCACCCAGGACAGGAGCGGGACGAGGTTCGGGACACAGGGAGCCTCCCACTTCTGTTGTAACATTTTATTCGCCTGACCTGAAAACGCCTCGCAGCCAACAGCCCAGTGACCTCAGTTGTGAGGACAGGGGCTGGGTGTCTGGGGCCGGTGTTAGTCTTCTTCACATTTGTCTGCATTTTGCTTTAAATTCTACTCGCAAGAGAAGCTCGGGAAGCCATAAAGCAGGACTCCCTCCCTGGTTAAGGAGGGCCCTGCATATGGAGTGGGATCCTGGGGGACCAGTCCGGCTTTCGTGGTCCCTCCACCCACCTGAGGCCGTCTCAGACCAGGGCCAGGCAGCTGAGCTCCGCTCACCCGTCCCCCAGTCACCGCCCCCAGTTATGTCCAACCAGTCGCCAGCGTGGGACCCCATGGGGTTTCAGAGCCTGTGGGATTTGCTCATGTAAAGCTGGGTGACAGCGGGCGCCCACAGGGAGGAGCACCCAGTTTCTCGGGTGTCAGGTTTCTCCACCGTCTTTCTGGCCCACCAGCAGACCTCATCAGGCCGCTGACGTGAGCGGAAGTGTGAGCCCCCGGGAGGACAGCTGACCCCTGCAGGGACAGAGTGTGCCCCTAAAGAAGGCCCCCCTTGGAGCTCCTGCCGAATGGGCACAGAGCTTCCGTGTGGGGAGGTGGAAATGTTCTGGAGATGGATGGTCGTGACCGTCACACGACATGGTGAGTATATTTTAAAGGTTAGAATGGGAAATTTATGTTATGCATATTTTACCACAATAAAAAATATATTAAGTAAAATGTTTCTTAAAGTTTAAAAAATGCCAGCCCTGGCTGGCGTAGCTCAGTGGATTGAGCGCGGGCTGGGAACCAAAGTGTCCCAGGTTCGATTCCCAGCCAGGGTACATTCCTGGGTTGCAGGCCATAACCCCCAGCAACTGCACATTGATGTTTCTCTCTCTCTCTCTCTCTCTCTCTCTCTCCCCCTCCCTTCCCTCTCTAAAAAATAAATAAATATTAAAAAAAAAAAGTTTAAAAAATGCCCCCTGAACTGTGCGCTGGTGTGGGCAGACCCCAGACTCCTCACTCCCAGCCATCACCTGGGTCACTGTCCTCCACAAAAGACAGAGATGGGGCTGGGTGAGGGTCCCGTCCCCGCCCCCCTGCCGCGGGGCACTCACATGGAACTCATAGATCTCCGTGAACCGCCGGTAGACCACCTTCTCGGACAGGTCCTGCCACTTCACCAGGAACATGTACACCTGTGGGTGGGAGGCTAGTTCAGCTTCCAAGGGGGCCTTGCGGCGCACCTGGGCTGCGCCCCACCCCGGGGTGGGAGCCTGAAGGACGGGGGCTGGAGCGCTCTCCAGGGCAACCTGGGCCGTAGGAAGGGCACCAACCGCATGGGCCCGGGAGCTGTCACTCCCCAGCTTTAGGACCCAGGACGAGATGACCAACCTCTCCCACATTTACTCAAATTCCTCGCCTGTCCTTGGGGATAAAAGCAGGCCCTCCCCGGGGACTGGTGTGAGGGAGTTATAGGAGATGAGATGCAGAAAGGGCTGGGCCCGGCAACGCAAGAACTCAGTAAGGTGTTGTATAGTTCCATGTACGAGGGGGACCCCAAAAACCGGAATTTATTTATAATAAATTGTGTATTCATTGGTACATATTTTTATAAAGTTTTGATGTCTGATCACATGTGGGTGGTTTATATATTTAAAATAAGATTAAATCAAGAAGGAGGGGCTTCAGGTCCAAGATGGCAGTGTAGGAAGATGTTGAACTCACCTCCTCCCAGGAGCACATTGAATTTATACCTCCAGATACAGCGATTTCCCAAAGGGAAACATGGGTCACTGAACAGCTTCTGCCCAGCAAATGACAGAGAGCACAAAGAAACGGAAGCGAGTGCAGGAGACGGGCAGGTTGTGGGCAACCCACCCAACACATACCCTGAAGTCGCCTGCCCCTGGGCACAGCTTACAAACAGCAGTCTGCGAGGACACGTAGGCTCCACAGGAAGGAAATCTATTTACTAACCCTAGAGCGGTTGCCAAGTGGCGGAGGAAGTGCGGACCTCTCTAGGGTTGAAGGTGGCAGAGTGCCATTTGGGCCCCCACTTCTTGATCCAGGCGCTCTAGCCGCAGGCCAAGGCTGGCCCCCGGTGCACCCCAGACCCCAGCAGCTCTGCTGCTTGTCCCCAGCGACCTGCTGCAGCTGGCCGGCTCCAGCTCCTGGTCCAGCCAGCCTGTCAGGGCAGCCCGGTGCTGCTGGCCTCCGGGACTCTCCTCAGCTTCACACCTGCCCTGGCTACAGTTTCTGCCCAGGTGTGGCTTGTCCCCTGGGCTTGCTGTAGACCGTGCCCACTTCAGCTACAGCCCCTGCGGCGGCTCACACGGACTTCAGCTCCAGACCCTGGCTCAGCTTACCCTAGGGCCTAACTAAAGCCTGAGCCCACTCCAGCTCCAACTCCTACCTGCCTGCCAAGCCAGTCCCGGCGCAGCCCGCCCCAGTGACTCCTTGGCCTGTGCCCACTCCTTCTACAGCTCCAGGACCCAGTAAAGCTCACACCCAGCACTCCCTTAGGCCCACAAACACTCCAGCTCCAGCTGGCCTGCCAAAGACACCTGGCCACACAGTCGACAAACAAGCAGCTCCTACACAAGGTCGCTCCTTCAAGACCAGGAGAGATTGCTGTTTCACCTAAACACCGAAATAAACACAGAGAGGCAGCCGAAATGAGCAGACAGAGAAATATCTTCCAGATGAAAGACCAAGACAAAACCCCAGAAAAAAGCCCTGGCTGGCGTAGCTCAGTGGATTGAGCGCGAGCTGGGAACCAAAGTGTCCCAGGTTCGATTCCCAGCCAGGGTACATTCCTGAGTTGCAGGCCATAAACCCCAGCAACCAACCACACATTGATGTTTCTCTCTCTCTCTCCCTCTCTCTCGCTCCCTCCCTCCCTTCCCTCTCTAAAAATAAATAAATAAAATCTTAAAAAAAAAAAGAAAATACTGTTAAGGGAAGAAGCAGGCTTGCTTCTTTAAAAAAAAAAAAAAAAACAGAAAAAGAACTAAATGAAAGAGACAAGCAATCTCTCAGATAAAGGGTTCAAAATACCAATTATAAGGATGTTCAGTGACCTCAGGAGAAGAATAGATGAACTCACTGAGAAATTTAATAAAGAGATAGAAACCACAAAAAAAGAACCAGTCAGAAATGAAGAATATAACAATTGAAGTAAAGAATACACTAGAAGAAATCAACAACAAATTAGTTGATGCAGAATAATGAGTCAGCACACTGGAAGACAAGGAGGTGGAAACCATTTCAGAACAGCAAAGAGAATAAAGAATTTTTTTTAATGAGGATAGTTGAACGGACCTCTTGGAAAACATCAAGCATACTAAGATTTGAATCACAGGAGACCCAGAAGAAGAAGAGAAAGAGAAGGAGATAGAAAGCCTATTTAAAGACATGAAGGCTGAAAACCTCCCCAACCTGGTGAAGGAAACAGACGTCCAGGCCCAGGAAGCCCAGAGAGCCCCAAACAAGAGGAACCCACAGAGACCCACACCAAGGCACATCATAATAAAAATGCCAGAAGTAAAATCAACAGGATTTTCCTTTAACTTCAATGTTGGAAACAGAAACAAACTTACCAATATATCAAATGGGTAACAATCATATTAAAGAGAAAAGAAAAAGAAAGAATCAAAGTAACATTTAGCTACAGTACTTTTACTCCTTCAGTGTGAAGATAAAAGGGCCAGAAAAACTGCAAAGAAACCTTCAATTTTACTTAATATGTTGGTAGGTTTATTAATAGCAGTGCGGGTGTAGCGATTCTGAAACAAGTTGATGTGTTTCATAGAGCTGAGCAAAGGAGTAAATATACTGATTTTTTGGGGAGCCAGGCTTCTTGGGAGAGAGAAAGGAGCTACAAATATAAAATGTCGAAAAGCAAGAATGATACAAAGTGGCTCTTTTCCCCAGTGTGTCTCCTGGAAAGACATGAGCACACCTAGCTGCCAGATCTTGGGCTCTAATATCGTGCCCCACTAAAAAGAATCAGGAGCCCTTAGCCTAACAGCTGAGTCCAGGGCTGGAGCTGGGAGGCTGAGCCTGGACCATCTGGTGCCAGAAGGAAGAATGTGCTCGAAGAATGGGAGGCACAGAAGCAGCTGGAAGGAGCTCCCACTGGCCAAGTCTGGGACGACCTGAGCATCAAAGTAAGTCATGATAGTGATGGGCTGTAAATCACTGAATGAAGTCAGAATCCATGGGTCCATATTGACAGAAGTAAATAAATAAGGGAGAAGGAAAGACCCTACAGTAAAATGTTAAGTAGTAAATGCAGAAGGAATGCTAGAGTTTAAAAATCACTATCTGGTGCCCTGGCCAGTGTGGCTCAGTTGGTTGGAGCAGTGCCCATACACCAAAAGGTCACAGATTTTATGTCTCTGGTAGGGTCAGTTCTGGAGCGGGGCACATGCCTGGGTTGCAGGCTCCTTCCCCGTCAGGGTGTGCCTGAGAGGCAACCCACCCACTGACGTCTCTCTCTCACATCGATGTTTTTCTCCTTCCTCTCTCCCTAAAATCAGTAAGCATGTCCACGAGTAAAGATTTTTTTTAAAAAAGAGCAATCCTTATAGTAATTTGACTCAGGCAAGAGCCATCAAATACTATAAAGAACAAGACATTCACACCTGAAATAATCTCCCCACAGGTTAGTTACTTAAAATAAAGGGGAAAAGAGTACCTTTACAGAAGAGAAACTCGGAGGGCGAGCCGGGACCGGCTGACGGGCGTTCACATCACCAACACGGGAAAGTCAGTGTCCCGCCGCCCGACGGGGTCAGCGAGAACAGAGCCCCCGGGCGGCCCACCCTCTGTGCGCACGCGGCCTGAAGCTAATGAAGCACCAGACAGCCCACACGGAGGGACGGTCTGTGAAATAACTGGCCCCATCTCTTCACAACGTCCAAGGTGAGAGGACAAGGAAAGATGGGGCTGACCCCGATGAAGGAAGGCTGGAGAGACAGGACGACCGAAATGCAGCAGGTGGTCCCGGGCTGGACCCTGGGCCTGAAATGTTCTTACCACAGAGGACGAGTAGGACAAAGGGTGACATCTGAGTGATGTCTGCAGGGTGGACAGCAGTGTTTCCTCAATTCGAATTTCCTAATTTTGACATATTTGTGTTGTGGTTATGTAAGAGAATGTCACTGATTTTAACAAATGCCTCAGTATTTAGAGGTTAAGAAACAGCTTCTCCAATTTGGTCTCAAATGTTTCAGATTCATTTTCAGAGAGGGAAGATGTGAGGGAGGAACGGGGAGGGGAGAGGGAGAGGGAAAGGGAAAGAGGAAGGGGGAGAGAGAGAGAGAACGGAGATCCTCCCTGGTCCTCCTCTGGGCTCGGGGGCACGAGGCTGCGATGCCCTGTCTGGGCAGACACTTCGCCCAACCCCGGAGTGGTGTCATCCTACTGGAAGGGATAAGACTCTCAGGTAACTGACCCCACGGGTGGCTGAGCGGACAGAGAGCCCGCCGCCCGCCGCCCCCTCTCCCTTCGGGAGGACCACTCCCTAAGAGCTGGGATGGTCCCGGAGGACTGCCCGGAGGAGGGTGCCCTGGACGTGAGCTCCAGCTGGCTGCCTGGAAGGGCACTACAGGGCGTGGAGAGCGTCCTCCTGGCTGGGGCAGGAGTCCGGGGAGTGAGGTGGGCTGGCGGGGCCCGCGGGGCCAGGGCGCGCTTCCTACTACTAAGGGGCGCGCATCCGCCGCGAACCCAGACGGGCAGGCTGAGGCCCGGACGGGGAGCCGCTTGCCCACGATCTGGCTCGCCCCGCTCAGCCGCCCAGGGATCCGGTGTCTCCTGCGGCGGCCCTGGGGACGGCGCGGGGACGGCGCTGCGTGGCACCCGCGCGCCTGCCCAGGGCTGTCCGCGCGCGCTGGCGGGGCGCTCCCGCTACTCACGTAGTGCTGGCTGGGGACGAAGCGCTTCTCGAAGCCCAGGAGGGCGATGTGGCGGATGAAGGTGTCCTCCATGGCGCGGCTGCGTGCGGCCCCACTTCGCGGGGCAACCCCGGGCTGGGCCTTAAAAGGGCTGAAAAGAGGAAGTCGCTGCTGGGGGCACGGAGAGCGGTGGGGGGGGGGGCGAGAGGGCTTCCTTCTTCTTTCAGCTGCTGGGACTCCCCAGGCTCCCACCACGTGGACGTGGACGGCCACGCGCACGCGTGTGTGCGAGGGCAAGCTTGCTCTCCGCACGGCGCCGCCCACGAGGCCTCGCAGGTCGGGGGATTCCCGTCCGCCCCCTTCCCCTCCTGGCCCTCCCCGTCCCCCCGCCTCCCCGACCCGGACCGCCTTCGCTTCTGCGCCCGGGACACAGCCAGCGGCCCGCACCTCGGGGCCCTCGCGCGCGGCCCGCCTGGGCCGTCTTCTCCCACACATCGGTCGCTGCCTCCCTCCCTTTCTCTGGGTTTCCGCTCAGATGGCGCCCCTTCCTTGAGAGGGCTTCCAGGATAAGCACACAGAAAACAGCAAAACTCCACGCTTCCACCTTGCTGCTCACCTGTCTTTATTCTGAGTTCTCCCCTCAACTGACACATTGCTTATTTTATTTTTTTACGATGTCTCTCCGGCCCCGAGTGTGAGCCCCGTGAGAGCAAGGGCGTGGCCTGTTTTGGCGCCCAGTGGGCTCTCCACAAATATTTGGGTAGTGACTGCAGCACTCCCCGAGCGAATGAATGAATGAATGCCTCCAAGGGAGGGCGTGCAAGCGCTGGGTGCACGTCCCCAGTGCGCGAGCCCGGCTGAGTGTCCGCGGCAGCTGGGACAGGCTTTCTAACTGAGTTCAAATCCTGATCAAAGAAATAGGCCCTCAGCGTTGACCGGTGTGACTCGGTCAGGCGTGGCTCCGCAAAGTGAAGGGTGGGCAGCGGACTCCCCGTGGGGCCGAAGGGGGGGTTGGTCCCCGGTCGGGGCGCGTAGGAGAGGCACCCGATCGATGTTTGTCTCACACATCGGTGTTTCTGTCCCCTTCTCCTTCCCTTCCCTGTCTCTAAAAATTAATTAATTAATTAGACCCTTAGGCCCTGGCCGGATGGCTCAGTTGGTTGGACCGTCCTCTCTATACACTGAAGGTTGTGGGCTCCATGCCCTGTTGAAGCGCGTGGGGGAGTCAGTCACTGATTGCGTGAATGGGTGGAAGGACAAGGGGATATCTCTTTCTCTCTTTCTCTTTCTATCAAATCAATAAATTTTAAAAAAATAGGGGCCATCATTTCTGCCATCTCTGCCTAGAAGGGGCTTTGGGAGGAAGAGAGGAGGAGGGGGCAGCATGCCTGAATAGAGGCTGTGGCCTCTCTCACTAGAGTCTGGGCACCAGGACCAAGGAGATGGGGGCCTGGGAGGCTCAGAGGTTATATAGAGCTGTTTCCAGGTCACACAGCAGGTGGCTCAGACCCAGGCAGTCTGGCTTCAGGCTCAGATGGGCAGCACCAGTTTGTGGCCCGGGGGGAGACTGCAAGATTGAGAGACATGGCCCTGGCTGGTGTCTCAGTGGATTGAGCACCAGCCTGTGAACAAAAGGGTCGCAGGTTCCATTCCTGGTCGGGGCACATGCCTGGGTGTCCGGGCACATGCCTGGGTTTCTGGCCAGGTCCCCACAGTAGGAGTAGGGGCACCCAGAGGCAACCACACACTGATGTTTCTCTCCCTCTCTTCTCTCTGCTCTCTCTAAAAATTAAAAAAAAAAAAAAAGATTGAGAGACACAGCAAGCACTTCACACTGAGAGCACTCATAGCCACGGGTACCCCAGGACTATGGGGGCAGAGGGTTGGCATCTGGCTCAGAAAGGTTTGCTTGGGAGGTCCCCTCCCATCACTGCTGCTCCCTACATCCCACCAGGAAGTCATCAGCCCTGGGTGTGTCAAGCCTTGCAAGTCCTTTCTCTGGTTATTTCCATTTAAGTATCTAGGATCTTCCCACACAGAAGGGGACACTCCACAACAGTGGAAAGAAACAGCCACCCACGTGGGCAAACCTTCCAGACACAGTGTGGCGGGAGAGAAGGCAGACACAAAGCACCCATGCAGAACCTTTACAGAAGCTCAAACTGTGCTAAGCCAGACTGTAGTGCTGAGAGCCAGGGTGACCTGGGGCACAGGTGGGGGCCAGGAGTGACTGGAGGGGAGCAGGAGGCAGCAGGTGACAGGCCTTTTCTTGGTAAGGGAGCTAGCCCAACAAGGGTGCTCACTGTCTGAAAACGAACCTAGCCCCAGGCACAGACGATCTGCGGAGGGCTCTGTTCTGTGGGTGTGTTTGACTTTAATAAAAGGCTGAAAACAGAATGGGTTGAGAGGGGTCATATGATGGATGACTGTCCCCACTTCACTTCATGGCAGGAAGGTGGCCCCCCACGGCACAGGGCACGGGCTCATTGCTAAGCAGCTGTCCCACAGGATGCTGCCCTCAGGTCCCCCCACGGAGCCTGACCCACAGCGTTGGGCACTTGGGCACAGGGGGAGGAAGGGCAGTGCAGGACCTCCCCCTGCGCGCCAGTCCGTGGCCCTCAGCACTTCCTTCTCTTCCTCCCAGTGGTCTTTCCACTCTTGCTTAAGTGCCTGGCCAGACTGCCCTGTCCAGAGGACACCCGCTACAGCAGCCAGAGCCACCAGCTGCTACCTTTCCACTTCCCTCCTGCGGCCCCCCTGTGGCTTGCCTGGAAGAGAGGCCTCTGAAGTACCGAGTGAGAGGAGCTCCTGTTTTACCGAGTCAGGAGGCTCAGAGCCTGTTGTCAGGATGAGGTAGGATTTCAATTTCGTCTTGTGCACAGATGGAACAAGGGAGTGACCGCATGATTAAAAAAGAAAAGGAATAAACAAAAATGGAGGTAATAAATCAATATAAGATGGGGGGTATGAGATAAACTTTGTAACATTTTATAACTTTTAAGTTGTGAAATACATAGAAAATTTCAGAAAAATGTAGTTTAACCAATGATTATAAAGCTTTGTTTATTATAAAGTAGATAGCTAAACTATACGGGGTCCGGCAGAAGTAACGCCTGCTAGAGTATGGTTGGCAGGGTAATAACATGGGTGTAATAATTTATAGTTTTAATTTGGACATTTCACCTAGAATGTCATATGGTGTGCTTGAGTGTGATATTGTTATGTTACAGAATTACATGCTCATGGTTTTGTAATAACAAATTCTGTAATAGAAAAGAGGCACTGTTTGTGCTGGACCCCATACATCACCTGGTGTGAGAATAATGCCAAGTCCCTAGAGCCCCCTCCCCCCTTCCCATCAAGTGTTAGTGAGGGGTTTAACCTGGGTCAGGAGAGCTGTGTATACATGATCACATCCTATCCTCCCAATGAAGCGATCAGGTAGGTAGTACGATCATCCCCGCTCTTCAGATGGGAAAGCCAGGACACAGGCAGGGGAATAGGTTGCCACAACTGGTAAGCAAAGAGCTTGGGTTTGAACCTAGGCAGTCTGGGTCCCAGGCCATGCCCTTAACCACTGGGCTCCCCTGCTTTGTTCTGGAATGCTAAGTGAATGAATGGTTGGGGGGTTCACAGAGGAGGAGCTAGCCTGCATGAATACCCCAAAAGAGGGAGACTCTTAAATCAGGCCAGACTGGAGGGGAGGCAGTTTTGCCGGCAGGCCTCAAGAATCTTGGCTTCTCTCCAGACACCACTTTCTCCACACTCAGGCCTTACACGGATGGGCTGGGCGGACAAGTTCCTCACCCAGGAAATCCCCAGGGCTGGGCCATGGGGACAGGCTGTGTGGAGAGGGGTTCAGCACCACAGCCTGAGGCCCCGGCAGTGCCTCTGAGGGAACCTGGGGCTTCCTGGGATTGAACAAATCGGACCTCGCTCTAGGGCAGTTCTTTCCCAAGTGTATTCATTTATTTATCTTTGAAAATCCTTACCTGAGGATATGTTTATTGATTTTGGAGAGAGGGGGGAGAGGAGAGAGACAGGAAGAGAGAATCAATTGGTTGCTTCCCGTACGCAACCCCGAACAGGGATCAAACTGGCAACCTAAGTATGTGCCCCAACCAGGAATCAAACTGGAAAACTTCTGGTGTACGGGATGATGTTCCAACCAACTGAGCCACCCTGCCAGGGCTTTTCTCCAAATTTAACTTCAAGCCCTCTTGTCCCTTCTCAAGCTAGAACGGCCTGGCTCCCTGTGCCTGGCCCTGTGATGAAGGCCTCCTGGGCCAGCCCATGGGACTGGTTCTCGCCGAGTGCCTGAGGCACTGCCGACTGGCAGGCAGAGGCCACTGGTGGTGATGCAGCTGTGTGGGGCTGAGGCTCTAACCACAAGCAGGTGTCTCTGCAGAAATGCAGGCCACTCACGATCTACCACCCAAGGGGCCTCAAGGCTTCCTTTCTTAGCAAAATCAGGCTAGCAGTGGGCTCTGCCAGGGTCTGGGCTGGACCTTGAGGCATCAGAAGGGAAACAGGTGCCTGCACTTGGGAGACAGGCTCAGGGCACACCTGAGTCACAGCCCTGGGAACCACACATCCTGGGAATCTCTTCCCCCTTTGGCCTCTGGATACAAGAGGATGTACACACCCTGACTGCTGGTGCAGGAAGAGTGGCTTGACAGTCACATAGACCTGCTTTGAATTCTGATTCTTTTATTTCTAGTTGTGTCTTTTGGCTCAGTAATTCAGGCTTCGTGCTGTTTTCTAATCTGTAAAATGGCACTAACAAATATACATATTTCTTGGGCCATTGTGTCCCATGAAAGCAGGCAATCCAGGTTGCTGGGACCACCTGTGCAAGGCTGGCACCATGGGGCAGGCTTGTGTTCTCTGTGGGAACCGTCAGCAGAGAGGTGGGTGGCTGTGTGTGGTGCAGCCTCTGGCCTACACCTGGGAGGGCTCAGCCTTTGCTCTGCCCAGGGATGGAGCTGAGGGCAAGGCCTATGGCGGTAGGATGTTCTCCCAGCCCAGGTTGGGCTGAAGACAGCGACCAAGGCCATGGATGAGAGCCTGGGAGTCCTGGGGTCAGGGCTGTCTGTTCCCCTGTAACGCAGTTTCTGGCGGAGCTCCAGTTGAATACCTAATGAGTGGAGACTCCACAAGCAAGTCCCACTCCAAAGCCA